ACCCCCCAGCCCCACACCGCCCCGCCCCGCCCCGCACAGCACAGCACCGCACAGCACAGCACCGCACCGCACAGCACCGCACCGCACAGCACCGCACAGCAGAGGGATGGGGACCCTGCAGGGAGCCCCTCTGGGGGGGCACGGGGCACACCCTGTCCCCCTGCACACACCTGCCAGGCCAAACCTGCTTCCTCAGCCTCTCTGCAGCCGGGCGGCCGTGGCTTCACGCAGCGCCTGCGGTGGCCGCGCTTGGAGTCGGGTAAAATCCTAGAACCATCGACTGCGTCGTTGAACCAGGGTCCGGTGCTAAGTCATTTTCTTTGCTGACAGTGATGAAGTAGCAATGACGGCACCCCTGGGTGGAGGGGAGGAGCTTTCCTGCTTCCAGAGGCACCTAAACCGGCCCCTCTGGCTGTTGTTGGGAAGGGATGCTGTGCTGGGCGGCTTTGCCAGAGCCTGGCTGTGCTGCACCGGGATTTCTAATGGTCTTCTGTGCATCCTGGGGGAGAAGTTGCCACAGCCCCCCTGCTAAGTAACTTCACTCCTTCGAGTCATTCTGCATCCCTGTCACACACAAAGCTGCTACAAAAGCGGGGCTGAGGTGGGCAGTGGCTCCGGGGTGATACAGCCTGGTTAGAAAACTGGTTGCAGGGTAAAAGGTGGAGGTTGTGTCAGCAGAACTGGTGAGCACCAGCTTGGACTAACTGGAGAAAGCAGGTTTTTGACACAGAAGCAGAACCTGCTCTGGCAGCCAGGGCTGGTCCTTATGTATAAAAGCTCTGGGAGGTGACTGGTTATGCTGGTAAAAAGGTGAGGACTGAGGATCAACTCCAGGAGATGGTGGGATGTGTTAATGTAAAGGCTAAGTAAAATCTCCCTGGGGACAGGTGGCATGTCTCTTCTTTGGCCTTGCTAAGGCACAGCCAGAGTTAAATGACACTCAGCCTTTTCCAAAGCCTAGTACCAAAGCTGCTAGGAAAAAGTTATCTTGTTATTGTTTATCTCGCTGTGACATCTGGTGGTTCCTGTGAGGATGGGGCCCCACTGCACTGAAAACTTTGCAGAGACAAGTGCAGTACAGCTATTTTTGTTTGGATTTAAGCCTTCCCCTGCAGTGTTTGCCAACTTTAACGAGGCAGCACAACTCCAAAGCAGAGGAGCCTGAAAGGGAGACAGACTGGGGGCTTTGCTGAATAAGCCTATTTAAAATGCAGGGAAGGAAATGAAACAATGTGAAATATTAATCACTTCCATAAAAATTCTGCCTTTTGTTCTTACAGTCTAGATGTACAAACTGCTTGGGAAGGGAGGGGAGCACAGCAGGCTTGACAATGTGGCCAGACTGGCAGCATGTGAATGCAGTTATTTTCACTCTCTGGGTTTGACTTGGAGTCCCCTCCATGACAATGACACAGAGCACTGCTGGTGCTTTCTGAGCTGTGTCCCTAATGTGAGCGAACTGATGGCCAAAAACATCCACGTTCTGAGCACTGGGCTCCCATCAAAATCCAGTCCTTCCTGCCACAGGGAGGCCAAGCCCTGAGGCCAGTGAAATGACCTTGTTGGGACCACTGTTTGTTTGGTGCTGAGCAGCTCAGCCTCCAGTCTGGGAGCTTGGCACCTCTGAAAATCAGCTTCTCCCCACTCAGAGCTCTCCTGCCATGGGATGTAGGGTCATGGGCTGTGCTGCCCTGCAAGGAGGGGAAATTGAGGCAGCCGCCTTGTGCCGAACACTCCTGTTTTTAATCTCTGCAAATTGCAGAGTCACAGAAGACACCCAGCACAACAAGCTCAGTGCCTTTTTATTTGTACATGTTGTTGCTCAGCAGCACCCAAAGTTCTACATGCAGCAGTGGTTCTGAATTTGTGCAGTCTGATTTATCATATCACCCAGGGGCAATGGCTAACAACCATTACCAGGGCACTAATAGACTTTCACACATATTGGTGGCTGCTCCTGTTTATCCCTCCCATCTTTTGTTATGCCTCAGCCCTCATCTGATTTAAAAAAAAAAATGCCTTTCTTAGGCGTGGGCCTTAGAAAAACAGCATGGAGCTGTGTTTGCTGCCTGGGCTGAAGGCAAAGCTGTGGGAAAGGGGAAAACATGGTGATTCCCAGGGGCAGCTCACTGGGAAGCTCAGGTTGAGATTCTTTTGCTTTTATGTGTCCAGTTTTCCTAATCTTCTTGTTTTGGAGCACATCAGGTGAGACAGAGCTGACGGATACAGAGCACTCAGCACAAAGAGTGTCATGGGGGAAAAATACCTCCTGAAAAACTCAGCAGTTCGTGCTTGTGCTGGGCAACAGGGAGGGAGGTGTTAAAAACTCAGGTGAGGGTGGATTTGTTACTCGTGCTGTGTTAGGTACAGCCAGTCTGTTACCCTGGGCAGGGGGAGTGGGGCTTGAAAGCAAGGACACTGATGAGAGACAGAGGAGCAGGTCATGCTGTGAGAAGCTGGAGGATGTTCAGCCCCACATAGTGAGAGAGGAAGAAATGTGAGATGCCCAGGGCTGATGCTGCAAGGAGAATCCAGAGAACTCCACTGCTGAAGTATATTGGGGTGAGCCTGGTGGGAGAGAGGGATCCTGCTGAGTCCAAGAATCACTGCTCTCACCTGGAAACAGTCCCTTCCTCCCTGGAGAAGGGGAGGTGGAAAGGCAGCCTCTGGCTGTCCCCCGTCCCCTGTGTGGGGTTCTGTGCCCTGCTGTCACCTTGAGGGAGGACACACACACCCATGAGGGCTCAGGGCAGCTCCAGCCTTGCCCCATGTCTGTGTCTCTGGCCCCAGCCCTCTGGCCCTGCTCACCTTATGCCCACTCAGCCCCAAGGCTGAGTCGTGCAGGGATCCCGAAGCAGCCACTGGGAGTCCTGAGCTTCCCTGAAGCACATTCTGTCCCCACATGCAAACCCCCAGGAGATACCATGTACTGCAGGCTGGCAGGGGCATTTACCTTTCTGAGGATGATGCCTTGTATCCCATAAAGTAGCAGTAGCGGGTGTAGAGATAGAGCAGACCCAAGGCTGCAGCCAGACCTGCAGGTGAGGGAGATCACAGTGACCACCTCCAAAGGCTTTTCAGAACTACTTTTGGCCAAGCAGGTAGCCCAAAGTGAAGTAAAAGAGGCTCTGTGTCCTCTGGCTCTACCCTCCCATCAGAGACAGAATTACTGCCTTAATTATTGTTTGGAAGGTGAGCAGGATCTGAGGACTGAGCCAGATCCAGTGACAAAACAGTTAACGAGCTGCTCTCACCTTGATGGAAGAAGAGTCCAGCCTGCCACAGAACTGCTAGGAAAAGGGGAAAATACTCAGAGGAGTTCACCCTGTCAGGAAAGAGGGAGGTCATAAACAAGGGGAAGATTTTCCTTTTTTGCTTCCCCCAGCAGTTTCCAGAGGCTGAAGGCTCCTGCTTTTTAGAGCTGATGTCACCATACAAAGTTCCAGGCTTTCCCATCCCACCCTTATTCTCAGGAATTTAACAGTGGAAGGAATGGAGTCTCCAAGGCACAAGAAATTAAGTAAAAGATGTCCAGGTCAGACTGGCCACAGAAAGGCTCCTTGAACCACCCTCATTGCCCCTATACAAGTGCTGCAGCTTAAACCCTGTGGTAAACCCCCAAAGCCACAAGGACGTTCTGCCCCAGCTGACTGCAGACATGCTGAGGGTGAAGTCCATCTTAAGTAGAAAAGGCCAGAGCAGCTTGCAAGTCATGCAGGAGTGGGAGGGAGCGCTTAGGTCTTTGGGTTGTTTGCATACCATGCCCTGTGCCCCTAAAGACAAAGTAGTGGGACCAAGAGATGCTGGATGAGGCTGAGTCTAGGCTGGCAAAGGAGCAGAGAAGAGGGTGGCTGAGGAGATCCTGCTCCTGCTGCCCAGCTGATCACATTTTTTTCTGTGCTCCACTACGGCAAAAGTAGAAACTTTATCCCTCTGTGCTTCCCTCCCCACTGCAGCCCTAGCACAGAGGTGACAGCAGAGGGGCTGGATTGGAGCTATCCCTATACTAGCCTCAGCTGAGGTCTCTCTGGCAGCTTGTCCTTCCCAGCAAGTGGGGTTCAGAACAGGGCTGAACCTGCCCAAGGCTTTGACACCACTTGGCTAAAACCAGCCCAAGACTTAGGCATGCACAATTATGTCTTTAGCAGCCCTGCACTCTACAGCAGTGACTTCTGTGTGTTTTCTATCAGCAATGGCTGGTGTGTTTAGAACTCAGGAGCCAACAGTCTCCATGCTGACTCTTCAGCCCATTAACTTAACCCTGAGGGAGGTGAGTAAGTGTCTTATGAAATAAATGGCAAGGAAGGGGAGGGACAGTGCTGCTAGATAGGAGATCTGGAAAACATCTTTTAAGAGAAGTTTCTTACTGTGCTCGAAAGATCCTCTCAAATTCAGGTGGGCCTGAGATCTTTGGAGGAGAAACACCAAACACTCTCCTGGCATAGATCACCTGGAGGATGAAGTAGGCTGCAGCAAAAGAGAGAAATCCACTGGTCAGTCTTCTGGCTGGGCATGGTGGGGCCAGGAGACTGCCAGAGGAAAGGACAAAAGTTCTGCACCCCCTAACCTTGTACCCCCACATAAAAGTTGAAGAAAAATCCCAGCTTAAGATTCAGACAAGGAAAAGGAATGACCTGGTGAGCTGAGCAGTGAGGTGAGCAGTGAGGTGAGCAGTATGCACTCTGGTACCACCAGCAGGTGTCTGTTCTCTTACATCCTATGCCACAGATAAGCTACCCAGACACTGAATTAAATTGTCATGCAATGTGGAACCACAGCTGGGAGATGTTCTACATCACTCACCACATCCTGTGCTTCCACCTTTCTGCTGCCATGCTCTTTGTATGCTAATGCCTACACGAACCTCAGCAGCTGCTGTAAACCCATTTCTCAAAGAAAGAAATTCTACGTGTTTGCAGAGGAGAAGATCTACCAACAAATTTCTGAACTGAGGAGGTAAGTCAGTTCAGAGGAAGGGCTTCCCTGGCACTCGTTCTGTTGAGTAAATTTCAAAACCCAGACAAGCCATCAGTCCACAGCTGGGAAGTACCAGTGCAACAACAGAAAGGAAATATGGAAGAGAAAGGAAATCACTGGAGGTACAGTAGACTGACCCAGCAAGTATTTGTGCATGTGCATCCAATGGTCCCTACCTTGCTCCAGGACTCCCAGGACTGTCACGGCAGCCAGCAGATGAATCTGATCCAACATATCGACTCTTCCAAACCCTAGAAAATCTGATTTCCTGATCAGAAGGTCCTGTGGCCAGGTTTAATCCTTGCTGATGCAGCAGTCAGCGGTGGTAGCAGGCAGCATAAGGTTGGCTCTAATGGAACAGGGAAGATCTGCATGGAGTGTTTAAAACCAGGAGGAGTCTGGCTTGGCTGTTATCACGTACAGCACGGAAATGTAAGTCAGTGGAGAGAGGTCTAATGGACTACTTCCGTTCCCACCCTCCCTCTTCCAGGAATGACTTATGAGTAAATGAGAAAGCCAGCAGAGTACTAACATATGAGAAATAAGAAAGGAGAACTGGGAGCTGAATGGGGGGACAAACTCCAACAGCCCACTAATCTACTCCACCTGGGGCATCTAGTTTGAAACTGCTTCTCAGGAAGGGCAAGGCATGTCCCTCTTGCTGATGTTGCATGAGGAACCAGAGCCCGGGCTGTTCTGCACCACTGGAGCATCAGGACAGACAATGTTTGATGGGTTGTGCCACTGCCTGCAGGGACTCTGGGAATCAGAGAATGGTTTGGGTTGGAAGGGACCTTAAAGATCTAGATCCAGCCCCCATGCATGGGCAGGGACACCTCTCACTAGACCAGGTTGCTAAGAGCTCTATCCAGCCTGGCTTTAAACACCTCCAGGGAGGGTGGCATCCACAACTTCCCTGGACAACCTGTTCTAGTGCCTCACCACCCTCATAGTGAAGAATTTCCTCCTAAAGTCTAACCTAAATCTCCCCTCTTCCAGTTTTAATCCATTATCCCTTGTCCTATCACTAAAGGCCCCCTAAGAAGCACATGTTGGGCACAGAGTGCAACTGAGACAGCATCTACAAAACATGTAGATCTGTCTTTCACAGTGATGCTTTATTTGGGGATGGGTCCTGCAGAATGGCTGCTGGACACCACGAGGGTTCCAGAGCCAGCCCTCTCACTGGAAAAGCTGGGAGCTGTACATCAAGGCTTCTCTCATTGTAAACACCAGAGAGTTGTGTGAGTAAAAACCTGCAGAATTCATCATGACATAGCAAAGGGGAAATTATGTTTTCACATGTCAGGAGAGACCCATTTGGCTAATTCCTAAGAGAGCAAAGCTGGCATGGCTGTGAGCTGCTGAGACTGCCAGCTTTGTTTCCTTCCTCTCCCTTCAGTTGAACAATTTTCCCTTCAGACCAGGGAAAAAGAACATTGGGTTACGACAAAGTGATCGTTAAACGTCACTATTGTAGAAAATAAGATCAGATTAAAGCAGTTTACAGAAATTACCTCATTTACCTAATTTACCTCAATTACAGAAATTGCCTCATGTCCTTGATAGGCTTTCTAAGAAGCAATAAACAGGTTCTGCTTTTCTACCTCTCTATAAGGGGTAAAGGCACCCGGAGAGGCTGTGACAATGTCCCAGCTTTTATTTCTCCAAATATCAAACACAGACACCATCGTTTTTTCAGGCACCAGCTGTAAAATTAATTCTTTCATGACAGAATTGATCCCTTTTCATTCCAGTGACTGTTCAGAAATACGAGGAACACGGTGTTTGGTTTTCTCCTATTTAGCTGTCAAAGAAATGAAGGACTTCCCTGTGTCAGCTCAAAAAGGGCTGAGGTCTCACAGTGCTTAATAACATTGGATTTCCCTCTGCTTCTCTCTGATTTCAGCCTGCTTACAAAAGAAAATCTAAAGCAAAACAACCAAGCAAAAAAGATCCAAGCTTACACCTTCACTGGATGACAGTGCAGTGTAACCTGCATTAAAAGTGCCAAATATGTGTAAGGAAACCTGGGCCAGGAGGAGCTGTAAAGGTGGTCACACAGCATTCCTAGTCCCCAGATCATCATTAGATGCAAAATACTTCTAATATCATCCAGTGTAGTCTAAGCAGAATAGAGACTAGTAGAAACATGAATGAATAAACAAACACAGATGTTTTTCCCCACCTCCTTCCTCCCCCATAAACATAATTTTTCAAGCTGTCTTTACCTCCTGAAGGTTTTCCTTTCCTTGCCCCTGTTTGTCACCATCAGAACTTGCCATATTTTCCATCCTCACTTGGTGTTTGCAAGGAGCAGACACAGGTCCCCTCTTCCCAGCACCAGAAGCCTTTTGATGATGGGACTGTCACTAGTGGACAGCCTCAGAATCTTGCAGACCACGGTGGCCACCAGCATCCCTGTGTGGGGAGTGTCCCAGCACGCTCTGGCTGGCAGATGTGGTTCCCCTCACCACCCTGGTCTCCACCACCTTCCTGCCGCTTGCATCTGATCTAACGCCCGCGGGACTGCACGGTGATCAGATCGCGCTGCTGATGGAACAGAAACCTCTCTGGTCTGCAGGCAAAGGGACCTGATTGCTGGCAGCCTGGCAAGCCCAGCTTGCTGCACAGCCACTGCATCCCTGGGCTCCACAGGAGGGGAGAGGCAGGAGGGGCAGCTGGGGTGGGGAGATGAGGACAAGGCGTCAGCACTGTCATCATCTGCCTGCGATGACGCCGGAACGAGCACATTGCGAAACCTCACCCACCAGCTCTGACACGGCTCAGTTTCCTCCTGAGAAAAGACAAGTTCTGTGGTCCCAAGCTCGCCTCGGGATGGATTTGCTGGGCGGGAGCTGGTGGAATGCTGGCCCTTGCTCCCACTCCCCAGCGTATGGTCTGTTCTCCAGGTGACACCATGGGGACATGGTCCTGCATTGCAGGGCGACTGGACCTGGCACGGTCCAAACGACTCGTGCATCCCACTGAGACATCACTACAGGCACTTATCTGTGCCCGTCGTTGTTTCTTCCACCTCTTCCTGCAGCCATCAATTCTTTCTGCCCCTAATTACCACTGCAGGACTGCAATGTGAGCTGGATCGCAATACCAGTCAGGATTAAAAATAATCTTGGGAAGAAAAATAAGCAACACCAAAGCCTTTAAGCAGCCACAGAATCTGTACCACCTATTATTCCCCAGGAGCAGTGGGGCAAGGAAAAGCCAGCAGCACTGAGCCCAGCACCACTCCAGGGAATAACATCCCCATAGAAAAGTATTTCATGAGAGCACAATGGGCTGAGTGCTTTCTGTTAGAGGAAGAGGGAACATGTTGCAGTTGAGTAACTTACAGCAACTTACCTTTCAGCTGTGGAGCATGGAAGCATCTCGTCCTTCCAAATGGATCGTAAAAATATGGAAGTGTTTTTTAATCTCTTTGGTGCTTGTGTTTCCTTTCCCTTTCAACTCTTTTGCAGCCACTGAGCACATCCAAACCCGTGACTGTGGAACTGCTGGTGAGAACAGTTAGTGCCTTTCTAACAGCTAGATGGAAAAAAAAAAAAAAAAAAAAAAAAAAAAAAAAAGAGAAGAAGAAGAAGAAGAGAGACTTTTTGGTTCAAAAGAATGAAAAGCTGCACAGAACAAAAAAATGTTCAAGAAAATGAAGGAGCTCAGCCCCCAGCATCTCAGTCTGTTCAACTAACAGCTGGGACAGTGGGGCTCGTGACAAAACCTTCCTGACCTCCCATGCCTTCAGAGCCTTGTTAAATCTGACATAATCCTGTGAGATTTTCCTGGAATTCTTGTTTTACAGCTGGAAGGGGAAGAACAAGCTAAAAAGTCCAAGTCACAATTTCAATCCTTACAAAGACCACATGTGGTTGTTCCTAGCACGTGAGGGCAGCTGCAGGCGATTCTGCTCTGATGTTCCCAGCAGGACACAGGCTGGCTCACATCTCCTGGCAATTTTGAAATGTGTCCTGGGTTCCCCATTTTGCTATAAACATAAAAACTCTGCATGACAAAATTACCACGTCTTCCTAAAATGTGCATCTGTACAAAGACTCCTCCTTTCAGACAGTAAAATAGCAGGTGGTTGGTTTTGCCAGCAGCATCCAAGCTGGAATCATGTGAAACAACAGCTGGAGTACAAACTCAGTAAATACTGGAGATGTGTCAGCTCAATATTCCTGAGATTTCTATCTCTGAAGTGAATGTTCTCAAATTATTAATTACAGCAAGATTTCTAAGAGCCAAACTAATGTCTGGGCTGCCTTAACCCTCTCCTTGAATCCCAGCTCTGTAAAAGTGAGAGGCTTCACTTTAAAGATAAATTTAGGAAAACATTCAAAGCCATTTTATAAAAGCAAGATGGAAAGTTGAGTCTTCAGGGAAATTACATAAATTAATATATATACTCATTTAGTCAGGGATAATATGGAGGGTTTGGTTTTTTTAAGCTTTCTTCTAGAAGAGTTTGGTGTGTTTCATCTGTATTGCATATTAAATCTGAGTAGAGAGCACACGAGTATAAAATAATTGCCAACATTCCTCCTAACTCATCTCTTGAATTGGTATGTGCAGATGAATGTATCATGAGTAATACCCTTCTTTTACAACCAACATCTGGTAAAAATATTCAAACAGGCAGATCAAATCCATCTTTCCTTCTGCTGTTGTAATGAGGAAACTCCTTTCCATGTGTTTAGCCAGTTTTCCTGTGGTCTTTTAAGGAGAGTGTCAGAAATAGCAAATAAAAAAGAACAATGCCAGAAAGGCAACTGCACTTCTGCCCAGCTCAAGGAAGCATGAATCTTTGGGGCAATAAGTGCATATGGCAGGGAGGGGGAGGATTTCCCCTTGCTGAGGGACAAATAAGCCTTTCAAACATCTTTGGCAGCTCTTACGTTAACACACACTTAGTATTATCCTATAATGATGTGGGGGGAAAAATTGCAAGGCTACAGGACACATTGAAATACATCAAAGGCTGAGGAGTGGCCATGGAGTGCAGCTTCCCTTTTCCTAAATTATAGGAGTGAATGAATAGAGCCATTTAGCTCCTCTATCTTGTTTGGAGCTGAAAGCTGGATGCTGGCCAGCCCTGCCTGGTGATGAGATGGGCAGGGCATTGGAGAAGGCCTGAGCGAGGGACACATTTTCTAGAGGGGAGACTGGCATTCCT